TATATATTATATATATATATATATATATATATATATATATATATATATATATATATATATATATATATATATATATATAATAGTATTATATATATACACTATAATATTGTATATATAATAGTGCAGGTTGGTCGACGAAAACCAGCAGTCCTATGATCAAAGGCTCAGGTATGATTGCAATACCACCGGAAAAAAAGGGAAGTAGATTCGTTCATGGTAATCCTAGCAAAATCCTGAAGCAACTGGAAAGCAGATAACGCAGCCGGAACCTGTAAAAATTTCTCGGCGGCCAAATTCTTCTGTTCTTTACCATCGTGTCTGTCTGGATGGTAAATCTTTGACAATTGGTAGTAAGCTGCTTTGATTTCTTTTGTCGTAGCAGATGATTCAACACCAAGGGTTTGGTATAAATCGCGCCGTGAATTGCAAGGTTCGGTAGCAGCCGTGCTGCACAGTCGTGTAGTACTCATGGGTAGCCATAAACATTGGAATAAATCAGTGTGTAGTTTTTCGTGTCGGAAAATCATCGCAGTCATTTCCAAGCCTACAAGAGAAAAATAAGTTGAACAGCATATTTGTTCTCAGCTCACTAAATCATCTTGCCATGGGTTGACAAATATTTGCTAAGCCATAGGATAAACAAAACCTGCCAGTGGCATCGAGTTTTTGGAGTCAAATCGACCAGCAGAATTAATCACGTCGATTAACTTAGAATTAACCACGACCGGTAGATTTTTCTTTTTGTTAAGATTCATTTAAGGGACTTCACCACTTAATACAGTCTGCATTCGTAGGGCCATAAGGAATGAAGATATGCTACAATGAATGGAAATCCAGTAAGTATTGAATTAAACTGGCATGAACTACCTTACCATTATTGAACAAGCATGAACTACCTTACCATTATTGAACAATCAAGAAGCCTTTGTGACAAGATTAAAACAGAAACAAATTCGTAAATAAACAGATAAAATACTCCCTTAATGTGATATGCACACAAAAATCTTCGTATGCTTTTCGTTCAATTAAATAACGTGCTGTTCACTTCATACTGATTTCATTCTTACTCACAAAAAGAGTTCCCTATGTAGTGATGTAATATATAAGTCCAACATTACATTTATGCTTCAAAAAGTAGCATGATTGAAATGCGACATATACTACACTTTGTAGTCAATTTCGTTTCTGAATGTCATTACACAAGTGACCCCACAAAGATAAAATACAATCTGTGTACCGAATATCGCGCATAGAACATTACTGCTCTTGATTGAACGGTGATGGCACTCAGAATATATGCAAATGAAGTAATTACGCAATCTTTTATTCGGAAATAAGGTGATACTTCGATAACAAACGACTGATGTGAAAACACATCTGTGATGAACAATTCTGCAAAAACAACTTCGTACACGTTTATTCAATGAAGGTAACAAGAAAATTTCAAATAAGTATAGGAATGAATAAATCATATAGATCACACATAAATCAAGTCAAGCAAACTGCTCTGCAATTAAGAGAGCCAAAATGAGATCATTTCATATAAACGTCAATGCAATCACCATCTTCGATCCCTAATGTGTCCACAGTTTCTTGTTGATTGATACGCTCACTGTCAAAGACCAGTGTAAGTTTTTCCTCATCTAAGCCATTATCAATAGCGAAGTCCCGTTTCAAAATCATGAACGAAGTATCCTGTAAAGGAAAAAGAAAAAGAAAAAGCGAAGAATTGTATTGACATACTCGCTTATTCGAATATATCAGCACAATTCCTTAAGAAGCAAAGAATCTAATGAAACCTTGTATTTTTAATCTTTTTTTAAACATCATCTATTTCTGCAAATCAAAGTCTCCTCAATTTGGTGAATTTGAAATAATTACCCTCGGAACAGCAGTAATAATGGGTTTGTTTCGTTCAGGCAGTAACCATTTGATAGTTACTTTATTCTTTTTATGACTTCCACATTGACTATTCTTGTAAACTGACAAATAATTGACCTCTTTTTCACTGAATGCAACACTGTGTGGAGTATCTTCAGCAGAAATCCGCTTTCCATTTCTTAGTGATAAAATTACATTTTCCGGTGAACAAGACCAATTTGATGCATATAATTTGACAATATTTATGAATGTCTCGCTCTGAAAATCATTTATAAATTACACTTCTGATGGAAATACTATTAATCTCGAGTTATAGCATTTATTTGACTTGTAAGGATTCAACATCTCAGCGGCGTGCACTGTTGTATACTTTTCCCTGCTAAAAAAAAAGAAGTATCAAAAAAGAATTCCTAAAATAAAGACGGAAGTGTGTAGTGATATTCAGCATCTAAAAGTTTATTAATCCCTGAAAAATAGTGGACACTACAGCTGGATATGCTAAGAAAAAGTGAATTTATACATCTGTTTATGTCATCGAATTGAGATCGAACGAGTTGGTACTCAAAATAGGTTCCTAAATCCAGTTAGAATTTCGTATGCAATAAGTGCATACCATTTTCCAACGTTTTATATAAGTATCACAGCTCTCGAGGTCACCAATTTCAATAGAGCAGTGCGGTTCCACGACAAAGACTTTCTCTTTTGTAAATATACTGTCGTCAGCCTCAAGAGTACCACCATCAATAATAATAGGATTAGCAAGTAAATTAGAATTATTGTCATCCATAACTTTCCTCCTTCTGTAAAAATTGAAAGAAGAATAAAAAAGAACAACAAGGCTTTTGAGATGTATCTCTCCAGAAGATATACAGGAGAGAAAGTGGAAAATACTGTTCGGCCATTTATTGTTCTCTATAACTTTGTTGCAAGCCTGACAGCACTTCATGGAAGAGAAATATTCTTATGATCATTAAACCATTTCATTGAATTCATTGTTGATTTCTGTACTACAAGAGCATAGTTTCACTTATTCGTTAATTTGCAACCTTTTGACATCATTTTTCATTGAACTGTTCGTTACACGATTCATACGAGATAAGGGGAAAGCAGAAATATTGGAAAAAATTTCCAGCTCTTCGATTTCTTGTTCAACTTTTGATAGATCAGAGTCTTCCTTTACTTTTCTTTTTCCCCTCAACGCCAGTAAATCATCGTCGTCATCATTTAGATCATCTACAACGAATGTAATTCAGAACTTAGGCGATATTTACCTTCTATTACTCATTCGTCACATCGAGAATTTAATACAGTCTCTTTATCAGTTAAATAAGAGGGAAATGTTTACACCTAACAAAACCGCAACATAGATTTGCTCTGTGACTGAGAATGCTAAATCCTATATCTAATAATCTCTTCTCTATCCAAAAGTGACAAATCCATCAGACATAACTAACCTAGTGTATTCTTCAGTTTCTTGCTAGTATCCTTTTTGGCCAGTTCTGAAATTATGAATATTTTTAAGAAATAAAACACAGCATATTCAAGAAGATCCAGAATTTTTTCGCATTCAAATACCAGACTGATAAGGAATAGGTTTTCTACATATTTCTTACCAGTTTTTCCTTACACTACCAAACATGTTTTATTTTTTCGTTATAAAACGTGTTTTAATCCGTAATGAAAACCATTATTTTCTAAAGTATTCATTACTTGTGAGATGCTTTACACTCACTTGAAATTTTAATATGTCGTTGAAGTCATCCAACCCAAGATAATGGATAAGCAGTTTAGTAGAGACATCTTTATCTTCAAATTATATTTAAACAAACAAAGAAAAACCTTTTAAATGTATAAGTACCTTCCTTTTTGATATCATTCGTAATGGTTCCGGTTTCATTTTCACCCTTCTTGGCACTTATCACTTTAGCCATGAGATGCTTTAACGGATTGCCAAAGAAGTCATCATCACCAGTGGCATCCTCCTCCTCCTCTTCCTCCTGAGGTATCATCCGGACACACACTGAAACATCTTTGCCAGTCACGATTTTCTTACCTACCATTCGTCATTCGCTCCATATTTACCCATCCATTCAACCCAACCCAACCTACCCATGGATGAAACTATTCGAAGCACTCCATTACCCAACTCAATCTGTACCTACCCGAAACACCCCGTCATCCAACTCAATTCTTCGAGAGAGAAAAACTCTCCAGGGCACATGATGGGACGTCTTCGTAGTTTTGTGGGATTGGAGTGGGTAGAAGAAGGCCTCAGGGAATGGCCGTAACAAAGGTGTAGCTAGTGGTAGCAGTAAGCCCTGAAAGGTTGGGCTTCTTTTTTTCAAGAGATGAGGAATTAGGTTACCGATTACTCGCGAGTGCGCAGTCCGCTTACAGATGAGTGACATCGTGAAAAAGTGATTCTGCTGGCTAACGCAGGGCAATGAAGGCTATCCCTCCGAAAGTTTAAGATGTGATCTTGACCGACTTCTTGAGTCACTCTTCCTTTGTAACCTGCATTAAGGCAAAGAAATTGCTGTGCTTTATAATTTAATGGTGCCAGAGATTCTCCAAACTTTTTTAGTTCATGATAGGTGGGGAATGATTTTTTTAATATAAATCTTCGCAATTTTTGAAAACATTTCAGAGAAGAAGTAAGGCTGATTTTCATCATGCTTGCTCTAAATTTCACTGGTAGGGTGGTTGTTGTCACTGGAGCTGGTGGCAGTTTGGGAAAGGCTTATGCGCTTGAATTCGCCAGAAGAGGAGCATCTGTTGTTGGTAATTCTAGTCATTTTTAGTCTTTTATTTATTCAATTTTGAAAGAATGGATCGTTTAAATTCTTAAATTTAGAACATGCTTTTACAGCCTTAGTATGGCAAAGTATTACGTCTAACCAAATATAATTTGAAGCAGTCGTATTTTAACCTGTCCAAACGATGATTTGGTTGAGATCATTAGAGGATGAGATATTCGCTAGGAATATTATTATATTATATCGCTAGGAACGTTCCGAAAAGTACAGATTTCCATAAGGGACTTCCCGATATTTTATTCCTTCCTTTGCAGTGTTCAAAAATTTGCAAAAAGTTATTCCCTATTTCAGTGAACGATCTCGGAACCACACAAGATGGATCATTTGCGAGACGTCTGTCTGCCAATGCGGTCAACATATTTTTTTTTGGATAACCTTATGATGCTTCATTATTGGTTAGAAAACTAAGAAAGTGTCGCTATTCGATATTCAAACTCCTGACTATTCTTGATTGGCGTTCACTATAACATTCTATTTGTTTTCGCAGTAGAAGTGTAATACGTTTTTCATCAATACATTTCACTTTTTTCAATTTGTTAATTTAAATTAATGTGTAAATTCCATGCACTTTTGCAGACTGTAGCGGAAATAAAGTTTCATGGAGGTAAAGCAGTTCCAAATTTTGATAGTGTTGAGTATGGACATAAAATCATCGAAACAGCAATCACACATTTCGGTCGAGTAGGTAAGTAGTTGTCTTTTATCATTTTTCATAACGACAACCGGTTTACTATTGAGTGGTGCTGGAATTATCAGGCGTAAGGTGCGGTTTATCAGTATACTACGATATGGGTTATGTTATACAGTAATGTATAATATTACATTTAGAAATAGAAATACCAGAGTGGTTAAAATCAATTAATAAATCTAGAATATTGAAGCCAGGACTGCTGATTTTTTTTGTTGTGCGTTACAGAAATTATCCTGATTTTGCAAATGTACGCAGGCGATGTACGCAGAAAATTCATCTTAGAATTGAAGCTGTCAGTTTCATTTTTACAAACTTTCAGTTTTCAGATGTTATTGTTAATAATGCTGGAATTGTACTCGACAAATCCTTTCAAAATATGAGTGATGATGACTGGGGTTTGCACCATGTTTTTGACATTTGCACTGTTTAATTGTGAGATCATTTGATGAAAAATGAAACTGTTTGAATTATTAGGCCGGGTCTCACTTCAGGAAATATTTTCAAACTTCGCAGCTGGTAGTGACAATAACAGATAGAGCCTTAAGTAATGAGAGGCTGCTAAATTTGGGATGTTTATGAATTAGACCAAATTATTGCATATAGTAATAATCACAGAATATAGTAATAACGAACCTAGCGGAATTCCTTATAATTTCACTGAGCATATAGTGATTTCAGTTTCTGGTTTTTATTTTTCGTCTTTTATTTTACAGACTTGGTCTATAGAACACATGTTAAAGGCAGTTATTCGGTAACTAAAGCGGCATGGCCTTTTTTCAAAAAACAAGGATATGGACGGATTATTTTCACTTCTTCAAATTCTGCAATATATGGCAATTTTGGACAGGCAAATTATGCAGCAGGTACTTTCATTCTGGTATTAATTATAATTTTATAGAAAATCAATAGTGTTTGACAGCTGGTGGTAGGGTTAAACAAAAACAATTAACTAGGAATTTTGTCCACGATCATGATCAGGAGTTGTTGCACATTTTTATGATAAGTTTTAGCAAAGAACGCGTTAATTGGCCTTTCGCATACACTGGCAATTGAAGGAAGTAGATATGGTATTCAGTCCAATGTAGTGATACCGACTGCATCGTCAAGGTTAACAGCGCAGCTGTTTCTTGAAGAAAGTTTGCGAGTTCTGAAAGCAGAGTACGTAGTACCACTTGTTGTATATCTTGGACATGAATCTTGTCAAGAAACTGGAAAAGTTTTTGAGGCTGGTGCTGGCTGGTTTGGACAAAGTGAGTATTTGCTTTTTTCGAAGGACTCATTGTCATGCTGTTTACAAGTATAGTTTTTTTAGATATTCTCATGAAAAGAAATTTTTAGACTTTTTTACACGAATTTTTAGATATTCTCATGAAAAGATTTACTTTGTTAATAATGATTAGAAAAGTAATAAGCACAAAATCATGTGTGGTAGGATTCTCATAATCGGTTCGAATGTGGTTCTTATTGTTCGCAGCTACAAGCTCTTAGTTTTATCAAAAGTCTACTTTTTAGTTCAAGCCTATCGGTCGAAAGGAATAGTCTTACCGGCTGCAAATGCGGAAGCCAGTAAGTTTATGTACATTTCTGTAATATTTGCAACAATTTACACTTAATGTCATCAACAGGATTGTTGATCAAGATTATACATGGTCTTCTCTTTTCTGTAGAAAAAAAATTACATAATTTGCTTTTTGGTTTGGTTATCAGTGACTGGCATTGTCTCTTGCCTGCTCTTTTCAAATTCTCAGTCCATGTCATCTTTTGAAGCTTTCTGTTATTTATCCTGTGGTTGAGTAACTGGTTTGAGGTTTCTGTAAATCGTTTTGTTTAATCTGCAGCGAAAATGTGGCGTCATGTAAGAGGTAAATGAGCTAGCGTCAACAAGAAATCTAAGTAATTGTTCTCTTCCGCCATTTTAGTTCATTTTAAATCACAGTGTGCCGTAGATATGTTTCAGTTGCCGATAATTGGATAGCAATAACTGATATGACCTCTGCAAAACATTTTGATAGTATAAAAGGTAGTTGCTTTTTTTTCAAGTATTTAAAAGAAATGTAGGATTCTTTATCCGTTAAATTTCTTGAGCTGTATTGCTGGTTGTAAATTATCTGAAATTTCAGAAGTGATTGTTGATTTGCTAAAGTGTGCAGAAGAAGTAAGTTCTGAAAATTTAGCCTCTATTTATTTATGAACTTTCCTATATGCAAAGTCGTGATCAACTAACACTCTTATTTGCAGAAAACGGAGTCTGAAACAAGATGGGAATTAGAAAATAAGAAAGATGAATATATGGAAGTGTTGAAGGTATCAAGTATACTGTTTAATTGAGCGGCTGGTTGAATTAATTTCGAATTTATGAGGAAATATATGAGTTAATAAAAATATATTTAATAGTATGATGGGCGGAAATCTTTTATTTTTACATATTGATGGAGTAGGAAGAATCCTGACAAATAAAATTTTGTTACCAGATTTCTGTTAGGTGAAAAGAAAGACTTGTCGAGTTTTGAAACACTGTTTTCAGATTATAGCGGAGGCTTTAAATCAAAAAAAAGATGGTAGTCTGACATCTTGTTTTATGTTCATGTTTATACTTACGGACGGAGTGGATGTGTATAGCGTTAGTGAGTTAATTTTCTTCTTTTTCACTCTTTTTTTTTCTGCTTATGAGGTAGTCTTCCGAAAGACAAAAGCGTTGAATGGAACTTCAAGTGTTTTATCTTCCAATGAATTTTCGTAATAATAATTGAAACTATATGCGAGTAGAATTTTTATTTTGAAGACGGAATTTGGAAAATATGATCCATATATATTAAAGTACAAGGTAAGGAATACAACAAAGAAAAGCAGAGAATTTACTTTTAGCAATGCCTTTTGGTGAGAATCATGTTTCTGGTCAACGAGAATCAATCTGTATTATTGTGATGCACTGTGATATTTTCGAACAGATTCTCAAAGGTCAGATTATAACAAAAAAGGTGCGTTATTTTAGGTTTCAAAGAAATTTTTTTTTTTGGAATATTCGATGGATCAGAAACATTCAACTATTTCAATAATAATGAAGTGTTCCTGACCCATAACTTATTGGCCGCAGGTGATACTTATTTCTTTGTATCATAGTTCCCCATTTGAGTTATGGAACAGTTAGTCGTTTTATCTTCGATGATGTGATTGTATGCGCGATATCCATCAATTGTGGAGTCATTGTGGATAGTTTTAATTATGGAATATTTGCAGGTTATCAAACCTGGGACGATGGTAATTATTGGAGATATAAGTGAGGATGATGTGGTAGAGTCCATCAATCAGTTGGCCAGGTCGATGAAACCGAAACTTTAAGGTTTCGGGCTTTTTGTATGCATATATGTTGATTTTTGAGTTGATTAATCAACTATTTTGAATGAAATGCAGTCGTTTTTTTTTTTTTTTTTTTTTTTTGAGCTTTTCATATTTTATGTATCTATTTGCATTTGCGTTGTCATGAATTTTTATGTTTTTATTTGTTTTCTATTTGTAACCATTGTATTAATTAACGGACATAGTGTTGTCTCTTAAATGAGACCTTAAACATAAACTATTGTTTCATTTAGAAGTGAAATTATTAATAAATTGTTTAATTTATTAATAAACCGTGAATAAACTGTTTTGATGAAACAGTAGTTACCGATCTTTGTGAATGATTTGTTTGTTCTGCATTACCTAGGAGGATCCATTTTTACCCGAAAGCTTTTTCTGACTTCCTTTTCGTTCTATGGTGAACCTAGTGTTTTATAAAAATTTTAAATGAAAGGTGTTGTAGAAATGGAGATGATACATAAGAAGTTATTAGCTGAATGGAATAAGGAACCGAAGATTCTAACTGCAGTTAGTAGTGCACTAAAACAAGCTAAGGTAATCACTTCGAGTTTAATATTATTACTGCTTATTATTGCTGATTTAATTATATTTTAATTTTTTTTTCAATAGAAAAATAGTGCAGATAGTAAGTTTTTCAAAATCTCTGATTTGATAAAGCTTTCAGATTATCATCTAACTGCTGGTTGCATCAGAAATAGTGATTGCCATGTGACAAAATTGAGTGAATTACGGAATCTTATTGTACCTTTTATATGTTCCGTTGTGCGTTTCCGGAACAACACGTTTACCTAGCTTTGCTGAATAACAGAATAGCATTTCCAAAAGGAAAAAATGAGAAGAATATAACTTAGTTATTCTATGGTATTTCAGGAAGTAATGGAGAATCCAGAGACATTAAGAGGATTAAGCAGCGCTGCGCTACATACCATACACCGTAAGTTATTTTTTGCATGATTGATGGAAAAATCATGAGATGAAATGATCTATTTTGGCTAGATCATTTAAACGAAGAATTTATGTATAAACACAAGAATTCTATTTCGTAGGAGATGTGTACGAAATTGATGCTCTTTATGCGGTGCTTCAATCTGATCTTAAAGCTTTTCGTGAAGCGATCAGCGTTGTGATGAATTTTTACGATTGTTACAGGTCACTTTTTATTGAAAATGTAGATAAATCTTAAGTCTCAGCTTTCATATTTTTAGCTGCAGCAGTAAATTAGTTTATTTGTCCAACTAAATGCTTATTTTCCAGATCGAATGAAGAGTCACCGAATAAATTCTTAATGATTGGTTTGAACTTGATGTACTTTTTGACTACCAATCAACATGCACAGTTTCACATGGTATGTTAACTTTTTATTCACGGTCAGGTGTTGTTCCGAATTTATCGCACAAATAAGTAAGCAATTAGTATTTTTGGCCCATTCGTCACTTCTTTTATAGTTGTTTTGCGTGTTATGAACCCGAAAAAACCTGTTATTTTGTTTGGTCAATATTCCTTGTTTTCAATATTCTTTATTATTCTTTGTTTTTATCTTAGTTAGCACCGATCATATCTTTGCTAAATATCTCAGTTCATTCAGTCAAATATAGCAGAAAGTGATGCGTTTTTACAACCGTTCTTGTTGCAGCTGTTAGAACAGATCGACCAAAATGTTCAACAGAACAATCCGTACATTACAACACCGGTAAAATTGGAACAGTCACTCATGGAAGGTGTTTATAATAAGGTATTTTAATAATGACGGTTTTGTGTTCAAAATGTTTGTGTTAGGTTAGAAAATGTTATGTGCTTTACTTCCCTTGTAAGCTGTTATTTTCTTTATAAGGGTAACAACATATTACTGTGTATCAGTTGTCATGTTACCTTACATTAGTAGATTGTAGTTATGTCGTTTTCATTACTGGATACCCAAATAATTCTAGTTTTTGTCATACCTTTCTTGTCGCCTAATGTTTTGCAGAGCCAGGTTTTCATTTCAGGTTGTTCTTACAGAGAAAAATATCCCTAGTCCATATTATGCCCTATTTATTCGTATATCTATGGATACAGTACGGTCTGTTATTTCTTTTTCGCTAATATGTTGACTCTGATATAAAAAACATAAGTGCATTACAAAATACGTCGAAAAAAATGTGAAATACTTTCATTTATGGGTATTTACAGAGATGAGATAGCTTCATGTATTGAATGCTCCTTCAAAAAGGTTTCACAGAAAGATGCTGCGAGGTTGCTTCTTTTCAACAGTGTCGGTGAAGTTGTTTCCTTTGCAAAAAAGGTATTAAATATATATTGGATTTACTTCAGTTATATTATGTGCATTTTTATATCTTTGTTTTGTATAAAATACAAAACTATTGTTATTGATTGCAAAAATGAGAATCAAGATAACTCGAAGCAGTTTACAGCCGAGATCAGGTTAATTAAAAGAATCAGTTTGACAAATTGGTGTTGTGAGATTTTTTTTTTTTATTGTGTCCAGATACAATTGTACCGTCATCTGAGTGATAGAATGTTGCTACAAAAGGAAAGACGAACCAGAACTTACTGAAAGACCGAGGTTTAAAAAAACAGTAAAATCAGAGAAAAGCACGTTGGACACATTTCATCCCAAAGATTTTGTTCTGAAATGTTCTTGAATTTTTTCGAAACATGACAGTTTTTTATGTTGATATTGTGTAAAGTCCAGATTTGAAATAACTGTTGCAGCGCTGTTGGAAAAGTGCGGGCAACACATATATTTTCGAACAGGGGCTGTCCAGTGTAAGTTCTCATTCTATCGCGAAATAAATGGAAACCTCTATAAATTTGTTTAAATCTATAGATCCAACAAATTGCCAAGGATATCAGCAATTGCTTTAATTACGACTAAATGCTGTAAATAATTTTCAAAAAATGGAATTACCAGTCGCTGATGACTTTACATGTCGTCATTGTGGTGCCTTGACTGATCAACCTGCTGTAAGACAGACAGCACGCCAACTTGGAATTATTGATCATGAGGTTTCCTGCATTTGTTTTTTTTTTTCTTTTTCTATTCTTTGTCGTATTCCTAAAATTCTATATTTTT